TTATAATACACCCAGGACCCCTTTTCAATTTTGACTGAAATTCTTTTGTATTGTGTAACATTTTCCTCCTAGTAAAATGTAGCCTCTTGTTTATTATTAAAAGACCTTTCCTCATATCCTTCAAATACCCCCAGCCCCTATTCTGCCTTCCAATTATTTAAGTACGATTAATTTTAATAGTCCCTTTGTCTGTGTTCTGCTTTATGTTTATGCAGATCTATAGTCACTATATAGTTTTTAACCTAGTTATTCAGGAAGTCTTGCTCTCCAGGGTGGTTATGATAGTCTCTAGCTTAAAATTCTCCTGGAACGTCCACTGTAGCTAGAATAGTCCTTTCCAGGACCCTTGGGCTGTCTATGGCCTCTCCTGTGCCTATCTCACCAACGAGGCTCCCTCGTCCATCGTGGGCCTGCATTGCCTTTCTCTCTGTCCCTCTAAAAGCCTGAGTTGCTTAACATTCTTTGGACTTGTTGTTGCTGTTTCTCTTATTTTCAGGACCACTTCCTTCTTGTAGATGAAATGTCATCTTAGAGAGGCCACTGCTGCTTGTGACCTTTTCATGCTCTGCATCTATCCTAGCTGTCTGAAGGTCACACGATTTCCAAGTTTTTGCTTGTTTTCCTATTTATTAGTTTTTGTCTATCTTCACTCTTCCTCAGGTCCATTGTTATGCTCTAGGAGAGGAAGAGAATTTCTCTTGTTCGTAAGTTTGTGCTGGCAGTTTTTCAGTTTCATACACATCTTTTTTTAAAAAAAAAAAAGTATTCTGCTTGTTCTGCTTGGCATGGTGGTACATGCCTTTATGTCTAGAACTCAGGAGGCAGAAACAAGTGAATCTATGTAAGTTAGAGGCCATCCTGTCCTACATAGTGAGTTCCATGCCAGCCAAAGCTACACAGAAAGACCTTGTCTCAAAAAAAAGAGGTAAAAAGAATGAATTTTGTTCATAGCAATCCTCTCTCTATCTCTTTTCTCTTCCATCTCCTGGTGCCAGAAGGGAATTTTCTATTCACCACTACATCATAGTTTCCAAAACAACACCTACTACATAGCAGGCCCTCAATAAATAGTGTTCAAGAAACAGACCTGGCTAATTGCCACACAAGATCTTCCACTTGAGGAACTCCGGTTGCCTTGAGTCTCACTTTGCATTGAGCATTCTCATAGAATTAGCTGGTTTCGTAATGTCCTCAGGTAGCTGTCAAAACATTCAGAAGCTGACAGTCTCCACTGTTGTCCAGTCCAGTTTTAGAAAGTGACCAAAAGGTAAGAGGATGTCATACACATCAAATGCCTCAGATAACCCTTTTCAAACTTTTTGTAATAAGGCATAACTGAAAACTGAATAATAGCATTCAGTGGGGAATCTGAACAGGAATCTAAAGTGTCTGCATCTTTGAACTCTTGTGTTTTATTTTTAAAATTCGGATGAATTTTGCATTCCAACCCATGAAGCATCTTGGTTTGATTTCATTTACAAGAACTTTTCTTTGAGATTGTTGGAGAAATAAATAAACCCTCCAAGAAGATGTGCCCTGTTTACCTTGGAAAATCACCAAGAATTCCAAGTGCATGTGGCATGATGATAACCATCTAGACATGACTCTGGAAGGACCTTAAGGAGTGCAGCCCCTCCTACCTCTCGATATGCTCCTGTGCCTTCAAACTTGCCACAGAAAACAAGCCCCTGCAATGTGGTAACATAAGGAAACTCACAAGGAAACACAGGAGTGAGGTGTTGAGGAAAAGCCTAAAAGTTTTATCTTTCTGCACCATTCTCTCCCTCCCTCCCTCCCTCCCTCCCTCCCTGCCTGTTAAATTAAATTACTGCTTTTTTTCTGTCAATGTGCTTGATGTAAAAAAAAAAAAGTGTAAATTCCCCTCTCTGACAAGACAGATCAGACAGTGACCATATGATCCAGTTTTCCAAAGCCATTTTAGCTCTTGCTATACTGAAGTATAAATGTTTCCGAGTATTCTTCTCATCTGGGCAATGTGTGGTCATTTTAAGAAATGTCTTCTCCT